CCAGATTCAACGAAAGGGCATCAAATTAGGTGTGGGATATAGTAACAGATGACGGAACATGGATTTATAGTTACGATCCCAAAACAAAGCAGCAATCGAGCGTATGGGTCTTTCGAGATGAGGCGAAACCAACCAAAGTGGCGCGCGTGCAAAGTGCCTCTAAGCGGATGATTGCTTCTTTTTTTTAATAAAACTGAGCACGTGGCTGCTGTTGCTTTGGATAATCGTTGTACTGTGAATAGTGATTGGTACACGACCATTTGTTTGCCAGACGTTATTGACAAACTCCGTAAAAATAACCGTAAACGACGTATCATCTTACACCACGATAATGCCAGTTCTCACACGGCCAGATAGACAAATGAGTTTTTGAAGATGAACAACGTTGACCTTAAGAGCCATCCCGCGTACAGTCCCGACCTGGCACCTTGTGACTTTTATTTATTTCCAAAAATTAAGAACCAGTTACGCGGTCAACGATTTTCATCATCTGAAGAGGCTGTCGAAGAGTATGAAAAATATGTTTCAGAGATAGTCACGGAGGAGTGGCATAAATGTTTCCAAATATGCATAAATAAATATGGCATAAATGTTTTGGTTCATTCGTATGAAAAGGAGTGTTAACGCTAACGGAGAATATTTTGAGAAACAATAAATTCATTTCTTATTATTATTCATTTCATATTATTCATTATTATTATTTATTTATTATATATATTATTTATATATTTATTTATATTTCTGACCATTTATAGTATTTTTTTCTTATTCATTCCGGAAACTTATAGTGCGCCTCACGTGTGTCTGCATGACACGCGTAAGATTTTTCTACAGGAATAACTTTATTGTGATCTCCCGTACATTTTACGAATCGTGGATTAAATACAACAAAAGTATGAAAACAAGTATCAAAAACATCATATTAAAAATATGAAACCTTGAGAAGTAGAGCTTAGATCAAAATTGTTACGGTCTGGCGGACAAGTCACATTTGAAACGGAGCAAGTCGCTAGACTTTTGACATATTTTATTTATTTATTTACGTATAAAAGTAAAATAAATTATTTACGTAGTTCGCAAAAATTCAGGAACTTCCAAATTAAAATCGTAATTTTTAAATGCTAATTGTCGTCTTCATTGTGTGATTTCGCCAATTAGATCGCGTCACATATCATTGGCAAAACGTCTACGTTTCCACGGATTTTTTTGTTCATGTCGCCTATGATCGTTTATGAAACATGTATGAAACTCCCACGAAATAGTAGGCGTTAATTTTTATTGTTCCATTAGAGTAAGGCTCAAGTTTTCTTTTATTATATCATTTTAGGAATTTTGTTTCAAAATATTATAATAAAATATATTGTAATGATAAAAATTGTCACCAAAATTAGGTAGAGAAAACTAACCTGACAATTAATCTCTTTTGTAGAAGACGTTGACTAGGTGCTCACTAAAAATTAATTGTCAAAGTCGTCTATTGCTCGCGTCGTCAAAGTCGTCTTTGAATAGAATTATCTGGGAAAAGATGAAAATAATTTTGTATGAAAACTTAAATGCACTCAGAACACAGAAATCTAAATAAATTATTTCGTGCTACATGCACGCAGAAATCATTTATTTAGATTAAAGGGAGATCAATTTTTCAATCAAAAGAGGTTGATTTTGTTAACAATATGGAGCTCTTTAGGTAAAATCTGGAGCTCATTTTCTTAGTTTCACTCATTGACTTACAATTATAGTTTCACTTGTCTATTGCTCGCGAATAGTACGGTTTTGCTACGAAGCTGTGGAGTAGAATTTTTTAATTCGGAACTGGAGTTCAGAATTAAAAAGTTATAATTCCTCAATTTTACTTGTAACTTCTTTTTGAAATACGGTTTTTGTATGTAATGTAATAGTAGGTCCTGTAGTTTTTTTACACCACGAAGGTTCATTGAAAAAAGAGAAAAACAGAATGATAAGTTTCTACTAGAGTCGTGTTGTGTTGGCATAGTAAACGCCGTTATGCCCCCTACGTAGCTTGACATTCTATACAACGGGGCCCAGACTTTGAATTGAATAAAGTAACGTATTCTCGGTCGTTCACGTACACCCTTGTCTTTCATTTGTGACGATGGTGACCTTCTTCATCGTCCTCTCACATTTTTATCATCCTCTTTTTCTTTTTTCTGGTTACAGCACTTATTTTTGAATTGTTCTCGAAGTCCTGTTCCTTCACTATTGTTACGTTTGATGAAACTGTTGTCACTCCCTTCAAAATACTGGAAACGAGTAGACGTGCCCATAAATCATCAATCACCATTAATTTATTTCCAAACTTCACGTTGTTTATACTATTTTAGAAGGTATTTTGGGCCTTCTTTTCCTCTTTTTACAATAAATTATGTGAACCGAGCCTTCTATATTCTTACTTCCCAAGGCTAGGCTACTACACACTTTTCCTTCGTTGTGGTTTTAATAAAGTTATCATGTAGAAGGTGGTTTATTATAGGTACTTCATCGTCGTTTTTGAATTGTTTTCAAGATATTTCTCCTTTCCCCCACTCTTGTTGATATCTCATTGGTCACTTCCTGCCGGGTTAAATCTTTCCATCCACCTCCTACACCACATTTCAAAAGCCTAAAAATATTCCCTGTTCTACTGTATCTTGTTCGTAGCCGCACGCTAAAAGCTAAAGTTCTAATATTTTTTTATTGACTTTGCTATTTTCGAACTGTATATATAATCTATGATTTTTATTGACAAATGCTTGTATGGCAATTGCAATTGAATATCTGTTGTTCGCCGCTAAGCTGCTGTAAAACTTCCTGAATATATAAAACAAACACACACACAGCACAAAGAGTGTTCCAAAGCAACTTTTTTTGAATTTAACATTAAGTACTTAAGAGTTGATAAGTACCCATTAAAATTAACTCAAATGAAAGGGAACTTTTACAATGTGTAAAAGAAGATATTTAAGTTCAAAGTTTTTACTTTATTTAAGTTTATGGACTTTTTCATGCTTGATTTGTTAGGTGGGTACCTTTTTATTTTCTATTTGATTCTTTTATGAAAAGGTGAATTAATTGTCACTGTTTCTGAATTTAGTTGTAAATGTAACTATTGTACAGTCGATGTCCTGAAATACCTGACCACCTAGACGACCTTTTGGTTTTGAGAGCCGAAAAGTGTTACAGGAATTTTTTTTCCAGCTTCGCGGTTGAAATTTGTTTTCTATAAGTATTTAAGAAAGTATAAGTTAAATATCAAAATGACTTAAATAGTTTCTTAAAACGTCATTCACATTGAATTTTACAGTTCACATGTTACAGGTTGTTTAACACTTATATACTCAGAATCAAATGGTCAATTAGGGGGTCAGGAATCTTGGGCATCGACTGCACCACCTAAAACTGAATTCATTGTGCAATAACTTTTGCCATAAAAATGAAAACTGTCAATAAAGATTTTTGTATGATCATGAACATCACATGAGACGACGCACTCTTAATACTAATATTAATGGCAGATGTATTAATGTGTTGCATGTAAATAAACTCATATAGGAAATGAAATCGTTTTTTCGGATCCAAATCCAGTGCGTTCCAGTTTTGACCAGTAAGGGGTGCTGGTGAAATTACAGGCATATGGAACTAGTCAACTTATGTCTCCGGGAGATGGGCGCAGTGGCAGTGCCCTAAGGTCCTTGCAACTTAAAGCTCTGAGTGCACAGAAACTTTTTATGGATAGGCGTGTCGCTTACCACCAGGTACACGGCTTGTCTATCCTGTTACTTGGTATTATAAAAAAAAATATAAAAATATTATCTTGCCTGACTCGTTGAGAGAAACACAGGTGTGACACTAAGCATGTCAGTCAGACTCATCCGTTTCAACATAAAATGCATTTTCATTTCACTTTCATATTCCAAAGAGTGACTACAGCCTGTAAGAGTGATGTTATATGTTATTTTTGAGCTCCTAAAGAGAAAACTTTGTTTTTATAATTATTAATCTTTGTAAGATCGTACACAATATCTTTCTTATAACAAAAACCGACCTCAAAAGTTAGTGGAATTACATTTATTTGCCATGTTTTATCGAAATCGGTCAACGGAGAGTGAGCGAAATCCAATAAACCGTATTCATACCCTAATTTGACACCCAGGTGGAATATATTCTTCAAATTTAAAAAAAATGTGGTTGTCTATGTGTGTGTCCATGGCACCCGCGACATACGGATTTCCTAGTTCGGGGCTATGTGTGCGTTATTATTATAATTATTTGCATTATTCTTCTCGGCTTGTTAGCTGGTTTGAAACGCATTTACGGATTATTATTATTATTATATTAAATACTATTCTATTAATAATAATTCCAACTGCCTCAGTGGCCAAACGGTTACCATTATACCATATAATACCATACCAGGTCCCGGGTTCGATTCCCGGGTCAGGAGAAATTTTGTATGACCTACATTTATTTCTCTCGTGAGTTGTAATTTGTGGTTGTCTACATATGTGTGTATCCATAGCACCCGCGATACAGGGTTTCCCTAGTGCGGGGCTATGGGTGTGTGGGTTGTTATTATTATTATAAATATGAATGGGACAACTGAGGACTATTGAGATATCTCCTTTCCAACAAAAAAAGAATCATAGAAATCGAGTAACATACACACGAAATAAAATAATACAGTCGGTTAGAAAACGTCCTTCGCTCTGACAAGACTCGAACCTAATAATCATTATACACACGTTTATATTACGTTTATATACATTCGTGTCGTGTCAGATCGTTCTTTTGTATTAATAATTATAACAAAGTAGTGGAGGACACACAAAATCACACAAAAAATAAATGAAAATCATGGTAGTAAAACATGATACTCAATAAAATCAATATTAACTTTGTTCTTAGTTTTATGTTTTCATTAAATGCTGTCGCTAATGTAAAATCATTATTTCCTTTGTGTGACATCTTTCATACAGTTTCCAAATAATATTTTTCATTTCCAGGGCATGGCTACCACATCGAGGACAAGGAGAAAGGTAAGATGATCTGAACATTAAGACATACATGTGCATGGTGGCAAAATTGCGTATCTACCCTCAAAAAAAATATCTCCACCACATATCGATCCCTCCTGAATCATAAGAAAATGTAAAGAAAAAATGTAAAGAATCATAAGGGCCTTTTTAAATTAGACGCTTGCAGAAGCGCTGCAGAGGCGTGACAGCCGCGCCAAAACTTTTGTACTTTGCATTTGTAGAGTGATTTAACATTTTGTATTTTGTAATATCTAGTATGCAAAGGTGACACGCGGGTGGCGCAATGGCGCTGCAGCTGCGCTTAAAATCGACTAGAAATCATTTATTCCGTATAAAAGCACAGTACGTACACACACTATACAACTAAAATACATAAACTTGCGACTACAATATTAACCTTAAAACAAAATGGAAAGCAGAACATGCCTCATTAGATTACATACTAGTCAACAAATAATACGAATGAAAAACTTAAATAAATAATTACGTAACGAACAATAATGAACATAACAGGCATAGTGTGCGATGTGCTGTGCTCCTAAATATTGCATGAAAATAAAAGGGACCACTACCAAGGTACCCTCTTTCCAACAAAAACCGAGATTCATTAAAATCAGTGTACAAATGCCTTATCGTTGTGAGTGAGTGATCAATGACCAAATGAGTTATGGCGTAGTATACATATAAAAAAAAGGAAAAACATACAGTCGAATTTAAAACCTGCTCCTTTTTGAGGTCGGTTAAATTAGTTAACAGTGGCGCCATTGCAGCGGTTCTATGAGTATGTGCGTCAAATTTGAAGATTTTACAGTGGAAAGTTTTATAAGTATATTGAAAAGAATGAAATATATGGAATTTGATATATACGCATTAGTTTTCATACTTTGTAAATTTACTGCTAAATATATAACACCTACTAAAAAATGAAGTGATTTATGAAAAAAATTACCTAGTTTTGTGGCTTACGGTAGATTACGTAGGAGGAGTCGATATGTTAAATGTTGTTACCATAGTCATACATACACATGGATCATTTTAAAATTTGTTGGGTCGATAAAATATAGAAAAAATATGTTGCCCATTGCACTTATAAAGCATGTTTTATGTATATTGCATATACCTCAACATGATTACTCACTACCTTCATTTTTTATATCTCATTTCTTTTTCATTTCTCATTAACAAAGGCGGAAAATTATTTTTCCGAAGAGATTTTAAAAGAATGGCTGCTTAAAATTGCTTTCCTCTCAACAAATAATTACGTTAACAGATAGTCAAAAAATTTGTAACAAACAGGAAAATAATATGAAAATAACGAAAACACTTGGATTATTTTGAAATATTTAAGCGGAATTGCTTCTTGTGATTGGTGTAGATTTGAAAACATTTTTTGTGTGGTCATAATGTAGCGATGGCAAATGCTCGGACTAAGTGTAAATATTTTTGTCGGCAAGTGTACAAGTGAATATTCATTTGCAATTTTCCTACAACAATTCCTTTGATTCAAAATATCACTCTGTTCACCGTGTGACCTCCACGCAAGCAATGTAAGGAATCCGTCTGAGACCGCTCTCCCTCAGTTTTACCAACGGAGCCACGTTAAATATGTGATGTATGTTTCGAGGTATCCACAAGGTATGCCAGACCTGGTGAATACGACGCAAAATGTAATGTTGTACGGAAAAGTAAGAACGCTTTAGATCTCAATGTTATTTTTACTAATTTCTGTATTCAGTGCAGGCTGGCGCTGTGATAATGTTGTCTTGATTAATCGACCAACTGATAAATCGATAAGTCGGTGGTACTACCTACGTAAGGAACGTACCGCAGCAGTATTGTCGGCATCATAGACTCGGGCCGTGAATAAACTCTTATTAAAAAAATATAATACACAGCAATGGCGGTGGCGAGCAGGGCCGAGCCCTAACTAGTCAATGTTATTAGTTTTTACTTAAAAGCACTATTTGAATAAACAACATTCAGAACAACACAACGATGGCGACGCACAGCTTTTGTAATAGTGGAAATATGCCCCGACGCCACTGGTTAGAATCTTGTTATATCCGCTAGTAGCCCTGACATTAACTATGTGATGGACAGAGACTGTTTGCAACTTTTCGCCTTGTGCTGTAACTAAACAGGAAGTATACAAAATACTTAACAATTTTACGTTGCACAAATCACGTAATGTGTTTATAGCATTCATCAATAGGTAAATATTGTGGAGCGTACAATTAGCAGGTGTCTGATACATAAAAAGCAGCATTACAGACAAAGTACGACTTTTAATTCGTGAAGATTAATAAATCTAATTTACACTATCTTGTGGTCGGAGCGTCAGCATCATTGCCCCATATAATCTGTTGGTCAAGGGTTTAATTAGGTCATGTTCACCATTCTGGCACAAGGGGTTAGGGATTTCACATGCCTTCATAGATTTTCGGTACTATGTTCTTTCACTGTTAAAGCTAAGGCTGTTCTTTCACTGTTAAAGCTAAGGCTTTTTGTTATATACTCGTACACACACACACACACACACACACACACACACACACACACACACACA